TGGTCTGATTTTTTATCTGGGTGTTCGGTACAGTACAAATTCATTAAGACCTTTGAGGTTCCCGTAGCAGAATCTGGAATAGAGATCATAATGCAGACTGCGGAGAGATCATTTACGGAGATGAGAATGCCTATGAGACTAATGCTGCAGATCACCTAGCCTCGGAAAACGAGATGTGAGAAGTCGAGAAAGATCCAAAGGAGAACTCGAGGGATGTTGAAAGTTCTAACAAGGTGAGTGTTTTTCGGGTCTGAGCTTGCGGACACACTCCCAAAACTTTGTACTGAATAATAAATAATATAAATCACAGCAAACTATTTATAATCCGCTCAGCGCTGCTTTAAAAAAGTTGTATTAATTAATCTGGTATTTTATTATCCTTCTCGTGGATTTATTGTATGTTCATTTCGTATTATAATAACTTTAATAACCGCTTTAACATAGGTTTTACGTCTTTGAAATGAAATATAACATTTAAGTGGTTTTGTAATCAGTTTACAAATTGAACTGTGTGCCACGAAGATAAGGTCGAAAATATGACACTAACCAAAAAATAGCCAAAAGCTTCTTTTCGGTGGTTTTTCTCATGATCATTTTATAAGTTTCTATACATTACTAATGTTGAAAACGCCTACAAGAAATATAATTTATAATTCCCAAATCTATTTTGTTTTAGTACTGTGTCTCTTTGTAGTATGGTTTTTAAATTAATTATAAATATTTTGGGACCATCGGTGGTCCACGCCGCCAGATAAATGAATTTGTCTGTGAACCTYCGATAGTCCACGCAGCCAGAGAAGCGCAGTGGTCGTAGCCAACAGTGGTCCACGCGGGATAGTAGATGTTAATGTCCTACTAGCAAAGGAGATTGTTATCCTGTTAAAGAGTAGCACCGATTTCAAAACTACTAGCATCTGCKGTCTGTCTGTTGTTTCTCTTGAAATCTGGGCATTTTAAAATTGGGGTTTCAATGAGCGACCTTTTTAATTTCTAAAATGAATTCATATTATTGCAGTATTAAGTTTCGAATCCATTTTTAAATATTGGATTATAATTTTGTGCTACATTGATATTCTCAATCTGGCCAATTTGTTTCTAATGTGCTTGCAAATAAACTGTTGATAAAACCTAGTAATTTTTAATAAATTTTATTTTAATTTATATTCCTCGCTATTTAGGATCTTTACTAACAATCTTACAAATATCCTTATGAATAAGTGAGCTGGCACCCTCAAATTTTAAACTTGCATCATTAATATTTATAGTGTTGTTGTCCATATTTATTTTTTCCTATTCCTTTTTTGTCTCAAAATATTTTGTCCACAAAATTTGGCGAGTTTCAAGTCATGTCCGAGTCTTTGTTAAATAATTAAGGAAGAAGTAAGAATCTCCTTTGTTACTGACCTATTTTCATTCATTAGTGATAAAAAGTGTCTGTACCTACTATTACACATTTTACTTTTTCATAATATACTGTTAGCGTTACTATCGGTAAATTTCTCAATTGTATGCTAACTGAAAAAGTATATGTTTTTGAGACTTCCTTTTTATTACATTATGTTTTAAGGTCCACCGGTTTTAATACATGACATTCATATTTTTCAATAATTTCCGACAATAGCTATAAAAACTTATATACATATATAAATAGTATTCCTTATTTTGGAWTTTTTTAACTCGAATACCTTCTATTGAATGTTTTCTAAACTCCAAAAGTGTTCTTTTATCGTATCACATGTGACTCCCACGCTGCCAGTCCTTGCTAATTAAAGTCCTGCCCTCTGAAATTGTAATTCTTAATTATCGTCCTAATAAAACATACGAGAATATTTGGGTATAGTTATGCTTGTGAGGTTACGCAGTTACAGTTCTAGAACTATACCCAATTCTTACTCTTGCGTCCTCGCCTCGTAACCTGGAGACATGAGTAATCCTTGTGTAAGATACGGTAGCCAACGACTGTGCTTGGCAAATTTAACGCCAGGGTAGGCATAGAAGGCGTATTTGATATCAACAGTCGGAAAATTCAACCCCCATGGCCAAACCTCTTCAAATGGGTTAAGGCTGATCGATTTCACAGGACCGACGGACAGGGAGGGAAATATGTGTCTAGAACTAGATTCCTGCGCAAGAAAATTCATCAAACAATTTAGTTCGTAACCAGACCAATCATGTTGTGATACATGTACGATACGTCTCGCCGATGTCGAGAAACTTCTTTCACAACCGACAACGAAACGGGTTTCTATTCGACTTGCACTCCTGCTCAGAAATGCAAGTAAAACCATTTGTATTTTGTAAATGTCGAAAAACAGCTGTTACGAGAGGACTGCCGTGTTGCAGTAGAGAGAAAACAAACAGCCTCCCTCGAAAAGTAGCGATCGACCACACCACTTGCGTGGAAGGATAGATACTCAGAGTTGAAGAGGCGAGACGCTAATGCAGAAAAAAAAATAAGAGGCACTCCTGCTCTCTGAGAGCATTCATCAGCAACTCGCAATAGGGGAACTGATGCCGTCCCACGTCAAATGAAAGCGAAAAAATTTGTTGTTGTAAAGGTGGAAAAAACAGATGTTACGATAAAGACTGCCGTTTTACAGTGGAGAGAAAACAGGCAGCGTACCTCACACAGTTTCGATCGAACACACCACGAGCGGGAAGGATAGATACCCAGAGTTGTAGAAGGAAACAAGACTCTTACAAACACAAAAAAAAAAAAAAGCTGCCGGCAATATGATATCAGGTCTCAACAACCATGCATTAAGTTATGCTTTCCCCATGCTGGATAAGGAAGCGAAGCGTATGGGTATGGTTGTGAAAGAGAACAAAAGAAATATTTCCTGTCATCAAATAAACAGTCGTTGCATTATTTACTTGGCTCGAACGTCACTGTTGGCAGTCATAACTTTGAAGTCGTAGATAATTTCATCTATCTTGGAACCAGCATTGACACCAACAACAATATCAGCCTTGAAATCCAACACATAATCATTCTTGCCAATAGAGGTAACTTCGAACCGAGTAGGCAAATGAAAAGTAAAATCCTCTCTCAACAAACAAAGACCAAAGTCAACAAGTCTCTAATCATTCCCGTCATACTTTATGGTGCGGAGGCATGGACAATGACATCATCTGATGAGTCGTTGTTCGAGAAAGGAAAATTACTTTTCACTCAGCTCGTACAGTTAAGCATTGATGGAAGGTAAAATACTTCTTATTACTGATTCTGCGTAAGCTGTTCAGTTTACAGTACCATCTACTATCATTATTTTGCAAACATCACAACTTGTGAATGCTCCGCAACAATTTCGCTTCTCCACTGATATTAGTCTTTCTTTGATTTGTTTCAAAATCCCCTCACTTAAGATTGCATTCAACTTTTTAAGAAATAGGCACCATTGGTCATCTGTGGCTTCTTAAACACAATAATGTCTATCTTTCGCATTGTAATTAAAACCATCGTTTTCACAATTTACTTACTTCACCATTACTCGTAACATAATGTTAATTTCAATTAAATTGTTGTACTTTAACCACAGTAAAAGGACTGAGGCGAGTAGCAAAAAACGCACGTCAACAAACACGTCAGCCTCGAAATCTAACACATAATATCTACGCCAACGGAATTACTTCGGACTAAGTAGGCAATTGAGAAGTAAATTCCTCTCTCGACGAACAAAAACAAAACTCTATAAGTCACTCATTATTCCCGTCCCGCTATACGATGCAGAGGCCTGAACGATGACAACATCTGATGAGTCGACGTTACGACTTTTTGAGAGAAAGGTTCTGCGGAAGATTTATGGTGCATGGAATGGACGAAAACACTCCAGCTCTGAAAGTATTCGACACAGTACCTGCGGGGATAAGCAGAGGAAGAGGAAGACCTTCACTCCGTTGGAAAGACTAGGTGGAGAAGGACCAGGTGGCTACGCTTGAAATCTCCAATTGGCGCTACTTTGCGGAAAAAAAACTATTGGGGCGTTGTTGTTAACTTGCTTTAACCGCATGTTTCTATGCCAGTAAGGAAGAAGAATATAAATTAAACCTAATATCATTTTTAATAATTGACCCTTTCGTGAGCTGAAATGATTTATTTTAATTTCTCTTTTAAGGGTAGTCAAAGGCACGAATAAATGACAATTTTCAGTATTTTTTTTGCTATTAAATCGTGTTATTCTACAACAGTAGTAATATAGCATTATTATAGAATGTGTTGACATGAAGTCACGAAAATTAAAAAAAAAATATTTAATTTCCAAAGTAATAGTTGCTTGTGTTGCCCTGTTCCAAAAAAAGGTACTTGCGGTGACGACCATAAGTCCTTGGAGATTCATCTAAAATCAATCGGACAAAAAAAAAAGGTTTTATAAATAGATAATCCTGGGCCTGATCGAAGGATTTTTTGTTTTTTCAAAAATTAACAAAATGCCGGCCTAAGGAAGTATTTTTCTAAATTTTTGGGAAAAAAATTAACAGGGAATTGGTCTTAAAAAATCGAAATTTTTGAAAAAATAAAAATCCTTCGATGAGGCCCGAGTTTATTAGGTATTCTAAAAGCTGTATAAATTTCATTAAAATCTACTTACAGTTGTCACCAGTTCGAAAAACATAGTTTTGAGAAAAACGCGTTTAAAGTTTCACACTAGGGCTTTGAAGTGCCCGAGCTCTCTTTGTTTTTGTCGAATAACTCAAAAACTAATTATCGGATCAATGTGAAATTTTCAGATAATATTTTTAAGATATTACACTTAACGAAAATGCGAAAAAAAATTATTTTAAGAAAATTCTGACTCAGCTCTCAAATCATCAGTTTCTAGGTTGGCATCTATTATATTTTCAACCCAATACCTAAAAAGAGGTTGCTTGACCTGAAGTTGAATTTCTTAGTTTCAATTCAACTGAGTAGAGTTGAACGCCGTAGTAGGTGCAATAAGCATTTTCCCTAGTTAGAATATATTGCGTTTTTATATACATATTTCATACACATTGTTACTTACTAATCCGTTAGGCATAGTTTGTTGATTTAAATTTAAATATTGGTAATGGTTATTATATCCCGTGCTGTTAAAACATCGCATTGCTGGACTCAAGGTATAAAGAAGTGAACTTTCATTACCTTAAAAAAAAATGTGTAAATTATTAGAAATTGATGAAAATTATTTACGCATATCATACCAAAAAAATGTGATTTTAACTCCCAAGACTCTGGACTGTAACCAGCAAACATATACCGATCTTCGTCTTCGATAACCAAAAGAGTAGGCCCTTGGTTCAATATCTTTCCTAACATTGTCGAAAAACTTTCGCCCATTATTTGTGATGAGAATAAAAAGCGCCATTTGTTTCGATGTTCATTTGGCAAATTACTATTCACAAAAATCACATGTGGAATGTCTAAGATTGGGGTATAATTTGCGCCAACGGCTAGTCCTAACCAAAGCAGTAATTAATATATTTTTAATTTACAATTTAGTATTTACCTTCTAAAACTGGTAAGATGTTAGGGGAGGGAAAGCAGCTTGATTTTAGAGGCTTTGTGGAGTTTCTGCTATATAAGCCATTAAATACTTCTCTCCATATAATGAGAAATGTAGGATTTATCTGCAGCCATTCCTCCAGCTGACTTAAATTAAGATAATGGTCATGACCTTGACATATACTGCGAATAAGTCCTTTTGAAAATGCAAAAATTGTTCGATCTGCCGACTGGTACCCATGTTGCTTCCAACTTTCAAAGGCTTCGGTGCAATGATGGGACTCGATTTTTAAATAACTTTTTAGAACAGCTGAAATATACTGATAAACAAATATTGAAATTTACTTGTACAATAAAAAATCTTCAGGATCTTACATGTTCCAATTCCTTTATTGTGTATTGATTTGTATCAGTTTGCTCCAGAGACAGGGCTAAAAAATTTACTTTATCATCGATTGTTCCACTTTCGACTATATTATATGGTTCGGCATACCGCTCAAGAGAAATTGGAAAGTGTATCCTTTTGAAAATAAAATTTGCAGTGCATTGAGCCAAATGAGGATCTATAATGTTTGACCAATACCCCTAGAGATTTCAAAAATAGTGTAATATCTATGAACAAAATCAAATCGCAATAGTTTTATTCAACAGATATTTATAACGAAATAAGGTAGTTATCAAAAATTTGCAGAAAATAAGGAAGTTCGGGATGCKAGCCATTTGCATTTCTAGCGCGAAAAGAAGGTAAGTCCAGAAATTTGTTTATTATAAATATATTTTAAATTAATAACTTGATCCCATTACAGCATTTAATATCTAATGCGAAAAAAGTAAGGCATTTTTTTAAATATTTGTAAATACAGTTAATTAATTCCTATGTATATCTCTTTAGAAATCTTCAATTAGATCAACAGAAGCAGGAGCACAATTTTGTTTGGYGAGTTTTGTCAAATTATATACAATATTATTATTCTATATATTTATAATAGTTAATTAATTAAATGKCCAGTGCGGTTGGTCCAAATTATTGTTGGTTTATAAAAAGAAACTATTATGTTTAACCAGTGCGAGCACTTGACAAAAGTTTATTTATATATGTATTTTATATGTTTAAAGCTTCCTGCACGGTGCAAATTTTATGTAGAGTAKAATCCACTTTTGAATTGTTTAAATTATTTAGTAATTTTTATGGAGAGCATTTAGTTAGTTAACTCATTGCGATCAAAAATTCGGGCATCTAGAACATTTTTTGGCATATAAATTTGAAAATTATGTGCAATATATGAAGCGAAATGAGAAATGAGCCGTTTTTGTATCGCCTAAACCGCAGCGTATTGGCACCCAGCTGAGATCCAATAAAAATGCAGATACTGCAAAAATTTTGGACAGCCTTGGTAGGATGGAATCTCGGCAAGAGGAAATAATAAAACGGCTTTCAGCTGTAGAAAGTACTCTTGAAAGCTGTGAAAGTATTTATCAAAATAAAAGTATTATATTTTACAATTATTTAATACTTACTTTAAATTTCAGATGCCCGAACATGCTAAGATGGAAATGCTGCCATCTTCCTCAACCTAAAATCTACCAAGGGCTCAATTGAAAAGGTGTTGCAGTCACTATTTAGTGACGAGTCGGTGTGACCATACAACTGCGATGGGAAAATGGGCAAAAGGCATTAACAAAATTAAAAACAGGGGATCTCACTCTCGGTAAACATTAAAATATTTAGATACGTTCACCTTTTTAATTATTGCTTTATATAGTATCTGAATTTGCAAGTATGCACATTAATAAAATTTTAGCCATAAGTTGTTTTAAGTGTATTAGTATTAGTTAGCAATGGTTAATATAATAATAATAAAAAGAATTCTATATTTAAAAGTTGTATATAGTTATGCCTAAATTTATTTTAACCAATATTAATCCTATTTATTAATATTCCTTCAATATTTAATCTTTTCACAAAAAATTAGTTTTGCGTATACAAAACCATGTATTTTAAATTTCGCTTAATTATTTTTATCGTACCATCAATACTTACATAAAACAAAGTCGCTTTTTCTGTCCCTTTGTATGGGAATGGTGTATGTCCATCTCTTATGGATATCCCACAATAACATTTTTTTTATCATTTACTTTTACGACAAATAATGGCTAATTATCGAAGCGATTTTAACCGCAGCATTCGGCTGCGACGAAGCTAATATACTTTTCACAGRTGCATTTCTTTTAATAACTGTGTGTTCAGTTTGTATGGAAGCTATATGCCATAGTTATCTGATCTGAACATTTTTTCGGAGATTGTATTATTACCTTAATCAGTAATCCATGTCAAATTTGGTGAATACACTTCGTCAAATGCGAAAGTTTTCCATATAAGCCCTTGATTTCGATCGTTCGGTTTGTATGGCAGCTATATGTTATAGTGAGCCGATTTGAACTATTTCTTCCAATATTACATTATTTCTATGAACAATAACTCGTACCAAATATCGTGAAGATATATCGTCAAATGAGGAAGTTTCCCATGAAAACATTTGATTCCGATCATTCTGTTTATATGGCAGCTATACGAGGTGTGTTCAAAAAGTATCGCGAATTTTGTGTTTTTTCAAAAATTATTCATTTATTCATGARTATCTATTTTGTCCCCTTCAAAGTAATCCCCATGAGATATTRTACACTTGTGCCAACGGTTTTTCCAATCTTCGAAGCACTTCAAAAAGTCATCTTCTTCAGCTCCTCCTTCGATGCCATCTTTATCTCGTCAAGAGAGCGTAACGTCGTCCTTTCATGGGCCTCTGGGGWATACGGTGGCTGCGGTATCATTAGTGTGTTGTTTTTGGCCAAGAAGTCGCGCACAAGCAACGATGTGTGAGCAGGGGCGTTATCGTGGTGCAAAAGATAGCTTCTCCGTATGCCACAGTCAACATTCGGTATGCATCCGCGCACTTAATTTCGGTTTTCACACAAAATTTGATACAGGTTCTTTGATCCATTTTTTTTAATAGATAAAAATCGAAGACGATCCAAAACAYGTGCAGGCAAAGCAGCTGTCAATAATTAAATGAACATTCAAATGGCCGAGCTTGTCGGCRTAAATGAGAGACATGAGTGCCAACATAACGCCACAAAAAATTCGAAATTCGAATATACGTAACCCGCGAAAATTCAAAATTCGCGATACTTTTTGAACACACCTTGTATGCTATAGTAATCCGATCTATACAATTTTTCGGACATTACATTGTTGGCTTAGAAAATAACCTTTAGGTCGTAATTTTCTCGGTGATAATTTTTGTTTCTTTCAAATTTAGCAAATCTTTTCTCAACGGTTCATTTCCCTGGTGCAGAGCATAAATTCAACAGTATTTTCCCCCAAAAAGCAGTGCTTTATTAACACACGAAATGATTTATGATCCAYTTTTTTGTAAACTAACACAAGTTGCTTCACAAAAATGCTATATCTCATTAACTAATAGTTATAATATAACTGATAGAAATCATAAAGACGGTAGTAGTAATATTATCTATGTGTCAGCCACTGTAAAGCGTGAACGAGTCCTCTAGTATGATATATACTATATGCTCGTCTTTTTGACTGTTTATTTAGTATTTATTTCATCGTGATGGTTCTCTTTATATCTGTGCATATTTAGAAAAATGGTGTTGTAAAATACTAATCAAAATTTGGTTAACATCTTAATAACATTAGGGGTATTCAAACCGRACTATTTAGTCTGGTAGTTCGTTAGTTGATACTCCGTTAAAACACTAACTGTAAACATACAATTATATCAAATACTTACTTTTGAAAAATTTGTCAGAAACTAATTTTTAGTAGACGGGAAATGTATTTTTTTGTAATGAATTAAGTTACCTTTTGAGGCAACAACGCAAACAAAGTAGCTTTGTGATGTTATCAAGTAACGAAAAATCTATCATGCTTGCCAGTCTGGTACTTCCTTACTCGGTAAGACGATAATCTGTTAATTTTACAAAAAGAAAACCCACGTAAAAAACTACCGACTAACGACTAGCGAATTAAAAAAGCTGGTCTGAATACCCCTATTACGTGTCTTTTATTTAATATAATGATTTTATTGTAATAGTATTTTTGGAGAAGTAATAATTTATTGTTGTTTTCAGATAGTATACACACAACAAAAATCTATTTAAATAATTATTTATACTTTAATAAAATTGATTGAATTTATTTATTTTTTGAGGCAACTCATTATCGATGCAGGGCTCAGGTGACATTTCTTTATTAAAGACATAAATCTTTTATTTTCAGACTTTAGAACAAATTTTATTTAATTAATTAATTTTCGGGTATTAATAATATTTTTTTAAAATAGTCTTTTCTCAGGTATTAATTACTTATTTTTCACATGAAATATATTTTTATTTATAAATTAAAATTAATTGTTATAATTAGCAGTATTATATTGAATTATAATAAATTTTGTATAAATGTGTTCTAAGAGAAAATAAAATAAATAATTTTAAAAGTAAAGTTGTTTGAAATTTTAAGAATATTTAAAAGTAGGAATCAAAAGATCCAATCCTGTATTAGTTGACGATTAGATTAGGGAAATTACAGCAGTTCAGCTTTATTTTCACATATATAATTTACATATGTATATGACACTGCTGAATGAGCGCAAGAGATGGTGTGAGGGGAAAAATGGTTTTATTTTTGTTCAAATTGATTTGGGAGAAAATTCTTTCGCAATTAGTGAAAAAATGTGGAAGTATTCGAATTTTGCCATCTAATTTCGGAACTACTCCCCAAGTTGCTAGCAACGGCGTTCTCCCAGAAATTCAGAAAGTTTGCGGCTTTCTAAAACCATATTTTTACTGCTCTGAATTCGTCCTTCTCCACCTGGTCCTTCCAAAGGTGTGGAGGTCTTCCTCCTCCTCTGCTTCCCCCGGCGGTTATCATCTATTCGGACGACATGACCTAGCAAACGCCGCTGCTTCTTAATTCGCTGAACTATGTCAATGTCGTCGGATGAAGGATATGTAGAAATTCACGCAAGTGAAGGAAGCTTTTTGATTGCCATTCACTTGGAAGTGGCCAGAAACGATTATTTTACACACTTCCTGTCTTTGACAAAGTATCCTCTCCAGGCGAGTTAAAGTGAGAAGGCGAACCATCCCTACTCAGCTGGGTTTGGAACACGCCACGTAAAAACGCCCCCAATAAAGACTAATCAACAATYTCGGCAGACGGTCTTTGGCAAACGGTCTAAGGATTATGAAGGAAGATTGAGGACATGCACCGGTAATGTCCGGTCCCTTAATTGKGAAGGTGCCGCTGCCCACCTGATGATGTCCTCGTGAAAATAAAAGTTGACAACACCGCCGTCCGAGAAGTACGATTGACGGCACAAGAATTGAGACGAGTATAAAGGTGCGCAAATTCGGTCTAGGATTCGTGGTGGAAGACAGACTCTTTCGCAGAGTCTTGGGTTCTAGATGAACGTCTAGCCACAATGGGTTGAGGCTGATCCACTTCGAAGGGGCCTGGAAATATGGTTATCTGTAGTACTAGATTCCAGCATAGGAAAATTCATCTAGCTCCCTAGCTATCTCCGGATCGAAAAGTCACCAACCAGATCGATCATGTTGTGATACACGAAGGAGACACTTCTCCAATGTTTTAGACGTGCGTACACTGCAAACAAAAAACGCACGTCAACCAACACAAGGAAGGTTCGACGTCGAGACACAACAGACTGCCAAACGATTTTCTACCCGACTTCCACTCTTGCTCTCTGAGAGCACTCGTTAGCAACTTGGTATTACGGTACTGTGGGACGTCATTTCAAGCTCCTTACATACATTTGTAACCGAAGCCATTAGTTTGGGACACAGGATTGA